GGGTCGGGGAGAGCTCCGGCAGCCAGGTAAGGCCTGGAGACAGGCGGTGTCCTGGGGAGCAGGGTCTCAGCAAGGCCAAGCTGCAAAGTACAAACCTAAGTTCTTTCGCTCTGCACACAAGCAGTTTCTGAATAAACAAATTGAGGGGCCTGCTGCCACCCAGAAAAATAAGAGCCCAGAAAATAGCAGCTCTGAGAAGAGCTGGGGGGACGCAGCAGACAGAAAGGGAAACAAACTCCCAGCACGACACGACAGCCAGAACGTCCCGAGAGCTCCTTGGATGTAAACCAGGCAATTAATTGCACGTAAAAGGCGACTCAACCGTGGGCTGGGGTGGTTGGTGCAACGACTGGCACTGCTGGCACACAGCCTGCTCTTTCCAAAAGGTGGGGGCACAGAGGAAAGCCTCAGCAACCACCTAAGGCCCAGAAAAAAAGTGTTGAAATGAGAGAGGTTCGAAAGACTCAGTACAAGGTGACCTGGTACAGAGCTGAAGTATCTTCACAAAGAGAAAACAGCGTCTTGAAGAGCTCTACTGTAGTAGTGGGCACTTTTGTAGTGACAAAAGGCACAACAGGAATTTCAAAGCTGGAAGAGGGACCCAGATGCAGGCCCTCTGTAAGTCAGTCAGCCTGACATCGACCAGTGAAACCCAGTACCGAGACCAGCAGCAGGTTCACAACCTTCTTGCACCTTTGAATCAAGGACACTTCTCTCAAAAGCAGGCACCTGCCGAACACAGGGGTCCCAGGCTCAAATCTGGAATAAGTCTTGTTCTATTGATCACATACAGGCAGTAAACCAAACCCAAACCAAACCAAACCCAAACCATCCAGCAACTTAAGCTCTCTGACGCAAATCCAAGGCTCCAGCCACCCAACTGCTGGGCACAGAGGAGGCGAAGGGCTCTGTGCTCCTCCAACCCGCTCCAGACCTGGGTGCAGAACCAGCCTGGGCCTTTCCAAGGAGAACTGAACGACCCACGAGTTGCACCACGGCCATTTTCCTCCCTTTCTGCTGGAGGCAGCAGCCCCTTACCCGGCCAGCGAGACTGTGAGCAAGCCCTGCCACGGTCAGTAACTGCTGCTGAGGAAGATGCTCTGGGGCCTCTTACCAGTGCTGTATCCATGGGAGCCGTAGCCACTGGGCTGCTGGAAAGGGGTTGCTGATGCGTTGACGCTGACATTCACACCATGCTGCTTGGAAGAGGTAGGAGCAACCTAGAGAAAGGCGAGGAGCAGCGTGAGGAGAGGCTCGGCTGCGTTGCCCTCGTGCCCGAATCCCGCACCCTGCCTTTGGGAAACTCACAGGGAACACAGCGGGCCCATACTGGAAGGTGCTGGGGAGCCCTGGTACCCCTGTGTAGTACGGCAGACTGGTGTAACTGTAGCCAGGAGGCAGCGCTGGGTTCAGGAACGTCTGCTGCGTGGTGTGGTGAGTCTGGGTTTGGCTCTGCTGAGGCTGGGCCAAAGTCGTTGCAGGAGCGGGGGAAGAGGCATCGCCTCGGCCAAATTTTGTTAAGTCACCTGGAACACGGGAGATGAAAGAAGATGAAGAACAGGAGCGTCAAATCCCGGCCCGGCACAAAGGCGACCCAGCTTTTTGAGTTGAACCAACCCCTCTCCCACAGCCACCAGGGACTGCAGCCCTCAGAGCCTTCCCCACGGAGAAGGCCAAGCTGTTGATGACCCCCCCCCCGAGAGGATGACTTCAGAGAGGAAGGAAAACCCGCAGCCGCTACGCTACCGTGCTGCCCTGCCTGAGCTCAGCCTGCAATCCAGCTCTGGGTAAACCAGCCCCCAGCTAGAGCCCACCCTGAGCCCCCTCCCAGCACCAGCACCAGGCCTGAGCACAACTCCGCTCCCTCCAGCGCCAGACCCGAGGCCAGGGCTGCAGCCTGGGAGTCAGCTCCTCGCTGGAGAGTCCAACATCTTCCAGCTGAGGTGGTGGGAATGGCCTCTTTTTACAGCAGAGCTTGCACCTCCCTCTCTCTCTCTTGCTGGTGGCACCGAATCAAACGCTGCTGCAGAGGCCCAGCAGCCCGCAGAGAGCGCTTGGAAATGTCCCTTCCACTCGTCCCAGCGCAAGGGCTTGGCCGCGGGGAAGCTCCCTCTGCTGCTCTTCGTGAGCACCTGCTTGGCTCTTCCCTGCGAACACTCTCCCTATTCAGAGCTCACACAGCAAGCCAGGGAATTTCTCAGCGCTGCCCCAGCTCCGAGGCAAGTCCAGGATAGCCACAAACGTTCGTTATCACTTGGCAAATGAGGCACGTGCCACACTCGGAGCTTGGGACTTCAGCCTCCGTGTGCCAGGCAAAAGCACTTCTGCACAACCAAGCTCCCGCTGAAGCAGGGGAGGAGCGGGGCCGGAAAAGGAGCGATCCACAAAGTGCAACAATTCCTAAAGCACGTGAAAGCTCAGCACAACTGCTGCCCGTTGCGAACCAGCAGCGTGAATAAACGCATCCACCGAGGCCAGCGAGAGACCAGCCACCCACCAGGCATTTGGTTTGAATGTGACAGATCCTAAATGCCCTGGTTTCTTTCCCCATGAGGCTGTCACATAGATAAATAACTTAATTTCTCCAGATTGTGTGTTTCTTTGTATTTTTACTCTAAGTGCTTGAGAAACACTGCTTAACCCCTGCTTCACCACGACCTGAAAAGCAGTTCTCCAGGGCTACACCTCACAGATTTTCAGCCTTTCCTCTCTCCCCTTCCAACTCCTACTTGTCCCACATCTTCCCAGTGACAAGGCTCGACGTGACCAGATGAAGACAAGAACTGAGCTGCTGAGAAACGTGCTCCAGACCAAAGGCAGCGCAGGAGGCTGGTGCAGACGCGGCTCCAGCAGCCAACGGCACA